AGATACTTTGGAACTTTCTGTATTACAGATTTTCAATTTTTTTATTTTTAACTTATAAATCGATTATCTGGTTAATAGATTTTTTAATTAAACTTTGATAACAAGTTCAAAATTCCAAAATTCTTTTTAATTTTTGTATATAATTATTTTAAATTGGTTTTATATTGGTCATTATTACCTGTATAAACTTAAGTGTTCTAGGAACCCTATTTAATAAGTTAAGTCCACACACCAAGTGCTCTGAATAGCAATGATAATTACTAAAACCCGATTGTTTGGCTCCGATTGCCCATTGTGTGCTTCTTGGCAGGTAAATCGAATCCTGCAGTCTTGTTTGCCTTATCGCTGCTCTATTGCCTGCCAATTTTCGGAGGACCGGCGATTGTTTGTTTTGGCAGCTATTCAGCAGATTGCCTTGTTGATTTGCCCGGGGCCGATTGTCAACGTCAGGATAATTAGCTGCAACAGGAGATGACTCCGCTGGCTTGTTGTCCTTGCTGTTGTTGATGTTGTGCAACGCAGGCTCTTAAGCTGATTGTAAATGCAGTCTCCGTCTCCCATCACTCAAACTATCCAACTTAATCTTCCTGGTGCCCCAATCTCCATATCCCCCATCTCCTCCACTTTGCATTTTTGTTGGAGCATCGATTTTATACTTTTTCCACAGGCATATCTTTTCCTTTTTCCGATTTTTCCCTGAACCCCAGTGAAAAACTTGGCAAGTGAACGATGTCAGTCAGTGGCGCTCAGTTGTGTGCTTAACACAAACATCCCGTTAACTCGCACAAGTGTCGTCTGCACACAAACACCACTGCAGAAGCACACACACAGCCGTACGTCACACGAGTGTAAATACAGATACATCAATGCATACTGCACTTGTTTCAATTGAAAGGAGAAAAAATAGCGACTAGAATGGCAGAAGAACCATATCTCATGGATTTCTCTTAGCCGTGTCAAGTTCCCACACTCTTTCACACACTGGTTTCAATGGCGGAAGGACCCGTTTTATCCTTAGGATTTTTGAATATATTTCTTTATTGCTTCTTCAGCAGGAGAACTTTTTTACACAACAAAAAAAATATTTAATAGGAAAGTAGCTAATAATTATTATAAAGGCTCTTTGTTTTTTGCAATCAAAATATTTAATTACCAACTTTTCCGCGAATATCCAAATAAATAATTTTAGGGAAGTATGTATTTATGTTATTCTCACCCAAAAAAACTTTATATAAAACGATGATCAATTTGATATTATGTGGTAGTAATTTCGAAAATATATATTTAGAATTGAATTGTTATTCTCACATATAAATATTACTTTTTGATTTATTTATTCATAGTTTTTTTTCCAGTTTTAGTTTTTTTCCAGTGTTTTAGAATATCGTCCCTGCTGCAGAACTCAGATTTCTAAGTAATAAAAATGTAGTCGATTATCTTGATTGTATTTCGGCAATGGCTGGCAAACTTGCACACCCGGCGCAGATGATTGACATGACCCTAGCAATTTTCTATGGTCGTGGCCCCATTAAATTGACTTGTCACGAGTAATCGTTCTGCACTTTTGTGTCATTCCCGAGCCACTGATATACCAGGGGCTCAACTTGAGCAGGAGAGCCTCATAAAAAATAGCTGCAAAAGGGCAAGGAAAATAAAAAGAAAAGGTCCAAAATACACACATACTCCGGCTAGCAAATAAAAACAGGGTTTATGGTCAATCAGCAGCGAGCCTTTTTGGGTTTACTGAATACCGAATCCCTTTGACTCGCATCGGGAATCCCCAGACCCATTCACCTAACCCTAAAATGAAAGAGGTAAATGAAAGGCAGACAACGTAAAAATCACGAATAACCTGCTATTTTCATTTGCTTTCACCTTTTCCCCTTCTCCCAACCAACCGAGCAAAAAAATGTGAGCTACTGTGAAAAAGAGTGGAAGGTGCAATTAAATGGCAACACCTAGACAAACACATTGTGGCTCTTGTGGCCAAGATTAATGTGGAATGGCTGTGAGCCACCACGGGATCGGGATATGGATGCACCTCCCTTTATAGAGGAGGTAGCATGATGGCATGTGTGCGCCGCGTCCCATGCGGTTTCTATATATGCGAAGGTATACCCCATATATTCGTGACCCGATTCGGGGGCGCCAGCATCCAGCTCATTTATATTGCGGCTAGCCCCGTGATTATGGCAGCCAGCTGTCACACACATTTAATTAGGCGAAATTGGTGACATTTATCCGCGTCCACTTCTCTGACTCCTTGCTTTCATGTGGCCATGATCTAATTGAAAATTACGCAGGCCATGCGCTTGAATCTTAAATGGCCGGAGTAATGGTAGCAATGTATGAGGGAAATACTTTGTAAATACCTTAACAAGCGCAATCAGAAGAAAAACATTTTAATTAAATCTTAGACAGGAAACAGACAACAGAAAGTTTAGACTAAACGCTGAATACTTTGGCAACAAAGTTTTTATGATCTGCCAACCAGCAATTTCTAAGACATACGAAAATTATGGTTCTCAAAGTAAATAAAATAAAAGCTCTTCCTAAATAGAAAAATTTCAAATATATTTAATCAAAAGATTATCTCCAACTTTTTAATTGTAAAATTTAAATACAAAATTAAATACCTTACATTCTTTTACTTCAAAGAAAAATAATATAAAATATTTTACCCAAAGTTTAGCTTTTTAATTAATTTGTTTTCCAATTAAATTTAACAATAGTTATGGTTTGAATTTTAATGATTCCTAAAACAAATATAGTATGAGTAAGTCAAAGTTAGGATTCGTTTAATATTTCACATACATATTGCTAATATTTTGATTGCTTTTGATCAAATACTGCCGAAGAAACCCACACATGAAAATGTTTCAAATAAGCCTTGGGTTGGCGAGAAATAGCATACAATTTCACATCAATAAATTGTTTGGTCGCCAAAGCAAACAATTACAGTTGGTCTGATGGGCTGGATTTCAATTGGCCATCGATAGCCATCGGGCCACGCCCCCCGCCCCGCCCGCTGTCCACTGATTTGGACAAATTGCTGGCGGAAATTTGCGCAAATTCCAAAAGGCTCTGGTTCAATATATATATATATATATTAGAGTGTGCGGGGCGATAACAATGGAGGCGATTTGCTGAATGGAAAGCGCAATCCACATGGCAGCAGCAATAACAAATAAGTCTATTAATATTTTATTATTATTGCTATGCAAAGTCTGCGAACAATGGCAAGCCAAAGTTTTACCTCGCGCGACTAGAAAATGCGGAATTCTATCCAAGAACGCAAAAACACAATGGACTATACGGAGTGGCGACGATGGAGGGTGGAACGAAAAGAACGAACATAAACCCATTTTTTATGCATGCAGGCAAGATTTGTCGAGTGCAGATTAATAATTCAATTAGATTGCACAACGCGGCGTATGCGTGATGCATTATGCAAATGTCAAAGGAAACGAAAAAGAGACGGCGGGGAAAAAAGCGACGCCCCGAAAGACAATTTTCCGCTGACAGATGACGGGAACAAATGTCAGTGTCAACCTGCGGTTAGCTCACATCAATTGAGACCGGGTTCAAGTTTCCTTCTGTCCAAGGGCAAACTAAATCCGAAATTGTGAATTAGCTACTCCAAAATCAGTGCAAATACCCACATGAACGGTTTATAAATTAGTTGAAAATCTATTTGCGTGGAAAATGTGCGGAACATAAACATGATGACAACGTGATCCTGCGATAAATGTCGTCGTATCGCCCCCAACTCGTCCTCAGCCAACTTACGTGATACTCATTATTTACATTCGATTGAAAGTTAAACGTGCGAACAGATGAGCACAACTTTGCCGTTCCACACAACAAGTATTTAGATCTATATCACCCTCGTCAGCGTGCGTTGCCCCATATCCTTTACTGCCGCCACACCAAGCACGTAAATTGCTCGTTCTCCCAAAAAGAAAAAAAAGCACCAAAAAATAAGGAAAATAAAATACACACGAGTGAAAAAAGGGATAAACTTTGGTTTTGGTATACATCCTTGACGGAGTTCCTTTGAAAACCGGATTATGCATCGATGGAGGTGTGTACTCGTATGTTGGTGGCAAAAGTTTCTCCATGTGCTGGCTGCTAATGAGGCTGGCATTCATTTTCATTTACCAGCTGGTTGGCTAGAAGTGAAATAAATTAAAAGGAATGCCAGCGTAGGAAACTTTTGGGATAACCTTTTGTTATAATTTAAACTTTGTATTAAATATTATGAGGCCATGTGTGGGATGTGTGATAATCGTGTGATAATCACCCAGCTCGCTGGGAGAAGTTTTTCGAACCCCCTTTTCTTTGCCTTTGTCTTGACAATTCATTAAGCAATCTCTTGCTGGATTGCGTATACGCCCCATAAACTGTACGACAATGTCGGGCAAATATGCCAGCACGTAATAAAAATGAAATGCTCATGAAGGCCAAGCCCCGCCATCGCCCATCGCCCGATCGGAGACAAAGACATTGTAAATTATAGTGGTGATGGATACCTGAAACTACATCAAGAACAAACTCAAAAAGCAATTTTACTCTGAAATTAACCATAAAATATTCCTCAAATTTTTGTTTACATAACCAAATTTAATAATAAATTTTAAAAAATAATTTGGTTTTATGGGGGATCATATTTTAGATACCATTTTATTTTGAAAAACAGGTAAAGGTTTTTAAATATTAGTATTTGAATATTTTATTAAAGTTGTAAGACCTTTACCTTCATAAAGTTTTTTAAAATTTTACAAAAATAACGAATTAAAAGTTTCTTTGAAATTTATTCAAGTTTTTATAAATGTAAGACCCATGCTGTTTATACTCATATTTTTCTCCAGTTTAGCGTATTTTACGAGCTGCACATTGGACATAAAGCCAAAGCCGAAGCCAAAGCCCAATGAATGCCTCGTTGGCAGCCACATAAATACAATCGACCCATATCCCATCTCCTCGGTAATCCAACTCACCGTTGTGCCATCGTAGCCATTTGTCAGCAGTTGGATGTCGATTTCAATGTCCAGGTCCACCTTGGCGGTCGTCAGTTGCAGCGGCAGGTGATCGGCGTCCAGCAGCGTGGAATTTGTGGAGAATCCGCCGCTACTGTTGCCACCGCTCCCGCTGATGATGATGGTGCTGCTGCTGCTGCCGGTGGAGGTGGTGGTGGTGGTAATGGGGCTGGTGGTGCTGCTGGTAACCACCGTGGCGGCCACTGAAACCACTCCTGCTGCGAGTGCAGCAATCGCCCGCATTGCATTTGTCATTGGGATGAAGGGATGATGATTAGGACCTGGTCGAAAGAAGGGTTTGCGGGTGGTGTTTCCTCTTTTCAGCCGAACAAGAGATTCTCAGTTGCGGCGGGTATGGCAATAAATTGCCCGACAACGGCAATGCAGCATTCTGCTAATACACTTCGATTCTGATTCTGCGGCAATGGCGATTTAGGGATGCTCAGGAGGACCGAGGGACAAACATCGCGCAAAACGCGACCCAGAGTCATGTCCAGCCATCAATCAGGCGAAATAGCGGGCATTAAAGTCACACTCCTTGAATGATTAATTATAAATGCTTGTTTTTATTGGCACATAAACACACTGGAAACACACACACACACACGTACAGTGTGCACTCGCACGCACGCCCGTCAAGAATTCTCGATCGGCACACTGTAGTTCGAAATCCGAAATCCAAAGTCCCCTTTTGATACTCTATTTAAGGGGGGTTTATCTGGTTTTTCTAGCCAGCTGCCACCGCTTTGCCGAACTGAACCGTGCGAACTGAAGGCTGAACGTCGACTGTCCGGATACGCACGACTAACGGTATCTTCAGTACGGCGGACGACGACCAATACCAATCCAATACCAGTGCCGTAGAGTATGCAACAACTTTCGAGTTCCGCCGGAGGAGCCGACAAGTCCATTCAACAGGATGGCGATGGCTGTCCCGTTTGACAGGCGGAAAATGTGCGCAGCGCAGTTCGGAGAGCGAGAGAGAGAGTGCTGGCTGAAAAGCGGGAAAAGCACCTGTTGTTCCACCGACGCGTTTTCCCAGCGATTTGCCAGCGATTTCGGCGCGACTTTGGCCGCCTCCTCTATTTGTTCTCATTAGCCTACAGAGAACGAGCGAACGAACAGAGTGACTGCCTCAACTGCAGGCAAATGGAATGCAATTGCTGGCTTTGACAAATCGCCGCTGGCAGACCTGCTGGCCGATGCAATCTTTCAATTGAGATACCCTCGCCAAGAGAGGTACTTTGCTCAAGTAGCCTAGACAACTGCAATCATGCAATCGGTTTAAAATGTCCAGGTCTATTTGAACAGACAAAAAAATCGAGGAAAAATGTTTCTTCTTGCCATAAATTTTTAATAATAAATTTCCTAAACTAATCAGTATTTTGTCTTAAAAAAAACGTTAAACAATTAAAAAAATCTACAAAATTTTAATTTGAATTTAAAAATTGGAATATCGTTAGAAAACAGTCAATTTTTTAGCTTGAGCACCTTTTTTAACGAAATTATTCTCTCTAGTTCTAATATTCCTAAAATTAAAATTTTATTTGGTATTTAAAAAAAATTATTTTTTGTTCAATCTACCTGAAGATTATGTGTATAAGGTTATTATGGTTTACGTTATGACTTGTTATACGATTTAAAAAATATATATATATATAGATTCAACTAATATAGTTTGGAAATTATCTTAGCAACTCAATAATGTGCGTATTTTCAATCTTCTAATTTCTTAGCTAAAAATACTGATATTTTTCCTGTATTAATTGAGCTGCAGTTAATCTCACCAAATATTTTATAATCCACTTTGGTACAAGCTAAATACGTTATCATTTATTTTGGCACACAATTCAACTAATCCCTCGGATAACCCCTCAAAACCACATGCTCTTGAGCAGCCACTCCATGTGCTTGGCCACATCCGTGTAGATGACGGGCAGGGTGAGATTGCATCGGTTAATCATCCGCTGGCCGGCTGAGACGACGCCCCTCAGCATCCAGATGTCCTGTTCCTGGAGCATCAGCCCCCCGCCGGAATCTCCGCTGCAGGGTCCCGATGCCAAGGCATTGCTGGCGCAGATCGTGTGCGAGGTGATGAAGCGGGCGTTCTCCGCCGATAGATTTCCGCGGCACTCCGAGTGGGTGATGATGTCCGTGTCCGTCATCTTGGCCAGCCGTGTATTCCTATTGCCCTTCTCGTCCTCGCCCCAACCGGCCACATAGGACTTGTAACCCGAGGGCAGATCCAGCAGATAGTTTTCGTTCCACAAGCAGATGGGCTTGATGTAGTCATCAAAACTGAATGTGGTCACAAAAATATATTCCAGTTTTTAAGTTCATTTTATAGAATAAACAAATACGTACACAGGTCGGTCAGTCAACTGGAGAAGTGCCAAATCCGCATCCGTATACACATTGGGATTGTACTGCTCGTGCAGCAGGAGACGAGATACTCCACTTGTGTATCCGGGTCCAAACAAATCCAGCGAATTCCGGCCCAGCGAAACCGTAGTCCTTTCGGCCGGCAAATTGCGACTGCCGAAGCGGAAGCAATGCGCCGCCGAGATCACAGTTCTGGCCGAGATCAGGGTGGCACCGCACAGAAAGTTATACTCCTTGCCCACCTGCTCGAAGAGGGCCGTCATCCAGGGCAGCTGGCCCCGTTCCACCTCGTTGCCGCCGTGGATGAATGGCGTCTGGATGGTCTTCTCCCGCCCACAGATGCCGTTTAGCTGTCCAATTGTTTGGAATGGAAACGATTGTACGGGCGGGACTAGAGGTACCGCTGGTCTGACTGAGTTCTCCGGTTCTGGCCGCCATTGCGGCTGCGGTTGCTGCCTTGGAGGAGGCGGAGTCTGTAGCGGGCGGTTTCCTTGAGGAAGCTCCTGTTCTTCATAGACGCCGATGTTCCTCGGAGGAGGCGGCGGCTGCTGAGGACGGGTTCTTTGAGGAAGCTCCTGTTCGTCATAGTCTCTTGAAAAGTTCCGTGGAGGATCCCGAGACCATAGTGGTCGATCGGGTCGCTGGGGGACAGCTGCCAAGGGAGTAGTAGTTCGCAGAGTGCGCGACAAAGATAGCCTTATGCTAGGTGGTGGCACTGCAAAGAAAAATGTGTTAGTAAAATAACATAACCCACTAAAAATAAATTTTAAATATATTTTATAAAAAAAACTATAAAATAGGTTTATAACATTTTTTTTTTAATTTGAAATTTAAGTTTTTAAAAATTGGATATTAAAAATATAATATGTTTTATAATAAAATTTGTTTTCAGTTTCAAACTTTTTTGATTATAATTCTTTTCTCATCGGTAAAATTTAAAATTTACTTACGCTCCTCAGCATCGCACACGATATCTCCATTGAGCATAACCCTGGTGAGTTTGGGCACCACACCCCGCGTAGGAAAGTCAATTCGGTAGTTGATGGGCTCATTGTTTCTCAGGTTATAAGAGAGCGAATCCTCATCTTCCAAGAAATTTAAAAGTCCCGCCGTGGGCTGAAAGAAAAGAGATGGGTCAGTAGTTGGTAAACAATCCCAATTCCCAGGGAGCAATTCTAAATTCCGATCTACGTCACATGGGGGGCAGATATGTAAACATAACTCAACTGGCAAAACCTAATCGCTGGCTGAAAAAATAACAACATTGACAGCTGAGCTTAGGCGGCAGATCTCTCGACGAACGCCAAACGCCAAACCTGTTCCACAACTTTAAGGAAAGCGGTAGAGAACTGAGCTGGGAAGCTTTCGGGTAGCTGGGGGTTTTTCCCGAGCGCGTTCTGTCTTATCAGCCATGCAATTCCCATGAGAATCAACTTGACCACTGTGAGCTCGCCAAGCTATATAGTGAAAAATCAGACATCCAATCTGGGAGGGAGGTCAATGCTTGATAACACTGAATAATGTACTAATTTTGTAATGTAGGATCACTTACCGGGCGCCTTCTGCCAGGCTGTGACATTTCAATCCGCACTTCATTTTCCACACTATTACTATCCAGAATTAGTTTTAAATGCCCTATGTACTCATTCTGGTGTCCCAGATATCGGAAAATACCGGGACAGGCGATGTATGGCAGGCGTTGACCGTTAATAAAGCTGATCTGCAGTATGGTGATCAGGAAACCGAGCCGCTGCAGTTGGCACATGGCAAAGGCAGAATCTTTCCGGAACAATAAATAATTATAAAAACAAATGCGACTGCAATTTCACAGCATGCAGCTGGACGCGTTTGTTTTCCGATCGAAAATCAGAGGTTAAACCGAACTCAGTGAGAGTCGCGCGTTGAATGACGCTAACTAATTCCCATTAGTTTCCGATCTAGCCCGCTAGTCGGATCCGAGACAAAGCTTGTTGACTCTCTCAACCCGATCAGAGTTAGTTACTCGATTACAGTCATACTCTGCGATCCATTGGGAGATTCCGCCTTAATGTTAGCATTAAGGTATGCTAACCGAAATAAAGAAAAATAAATGTTTTCCTTACTTAATGTTGGCGTGAATATACTAAGTAATAATGGTTTGCGATTTAATTTTTTTCAACCACTTAAAAAAATTAGAAACCCATTAAACATTTAAATTAAGCTATTAAGTTTGCCCATGGTTGTGGTTTCCTAAAATTATTGTCATATCATATGGTCGTCATACGATTTCTCATAAAAGGTCCAAAATCATAAACTTTAGTTTCGCAGGTTTTAAAAGTAGTTTAATATTTTATTTATTTTAAATCAAGTAACATTAAAGTCAGTGTATACAATATGCGCATGTTTGTTTTGTCTTTTCCTGTGATTAATGAATCCAGTTAGAAATACCCGCAGGGCAGTAGAGACAGTAAATCCGCACTTGGATCTTCCAATTACGTGTCTGAAATGCATCTAGTTATGAGAATCTCTGCCACACTCCATCTCCAATTTAGTTCCACATATTCCGGCGAACCCAGTCGATATGCTTGGCAACGTCGGTGAATACAGATGGTTTGGATAGATCGCAGGTGTGTCTCTCTTCGTCGATTTGTCCCGCGGAGGTCACTCCCCGCAGAATAAATACGTCCTGTTCCTTGAGCATCAGTGGTCCACCTCCATCGCTGGTACAGGGTCCTGCTCCCGCCCTCTTGGCACACAGGCTGCTCGGCTGCACCAGTTCAGGGGCCAGTTCCAGGCGGCAGCCCGATTCGATTACGATGTTCAGGTCGGTGACCTTGGCCACATCTGTGTGCCCGGTTCCCGATTCATCGGGTCCCCAGCCAGCCACATAGGTCTTGTGTCCCTGGGGCAGATCCATGCGATTTCCGGTGCTCCACAGGCAAATGGGGACTATGTAGTCGGTATATCTATAATGTAAGAATAATATTAATAATAAAGAAGTGAACTTGTATTTAAAAAATAATATTATTAATAGTTTTCTCATATTTCTTATAGATGTCAAAAAATAAATTCATCTTTCAAAATATTTAAAAGATTACTCACCTTACAGGTGAATCCAATCTGACTAGGGCCAAATCAGCCTCGGTGAACTGCTCAATACGGAAGCTATCGTGAATGATCAACTGGGATACCCCGCGAAATTCTCCCGGCGACTGAATTGCCAGGCTGTTTCGACCCAGCGAGACGGCCAGGCGATCGGCAGGCAAATTCTTTCCAGGAACTCGAAAGCAGTGGGCCGCTGAGAGAACTGAGGAAGTGGAGATCAGTGATCCGCCGCAGATGAAGCGGGGTCCGTTGCTCTCCCGCCGCTCGAAGATGGCCACCAACCAGGGAAGTTGACCGCGATCTAAGCTCTTGCCGTTGAAAATTAAAGGTGTCGTACTGGCCCTCTCACGTCCGCAGGGAATCTCATTGGATGGGGCATTCTGCTGGGGAACCAGCACTTCCGGATTCCTGACCGTCGGCTGAGAATCATCCACTCTATTCGGATTCCTTATCGTCTGCGGCGGGGGAGTTCCACGACCAAGATTCCTATTCATGTCCTGATTCACAGAACCCCGGTTTGTAGAGGTCTGCGGAGGGGCAGTAGCCCATCCTGAGTTCGGGAACGACTGCAGGGAGTCATTACCTCTCCAAATACTCGGGAGTACTCCAGCACTCGGGACCCTTGGTTGAGTGGTCTCGGAATCCCCAAAGTCGACGGGAGTGTTATGTGGTTGCTCCTCTGGTCGCCAAGGTTGAGAAGGTCTAATTGGCACAGGTTGAGGTTGATTGATCGCAAAAGAACCAAAGTTTTCCCAAGAGATTCGCAGAGTTATGCCTGTTCTTGGCTTGGGATCTGGAAATCAAAGAGATTAGATTCGGATCTATTAATTTAAGACAATATCCACTCACATACTGGGCCACCGCAAAGCTCAATGCCATTCACTTCCATGCTAGTGATCCTGGGCGGGATGGAGGGAATCGGGAAATCCACACGGTATCGAATTGGTAAGCCATTGCGAAGATTGGCGTGGACCTGGTTGTCATCATCTATCATTGAAATACTGCCAACGTAATCCTAAAATAAAGAGAAAAGTTAATAGTGAACCTTTTTATACCCTTGCAGAGGGTATTATGATTTCAGTCAGAAGTTTGCAACGCAGTGAAGGAGACGTTTCCGACCCCATAAAGTATATATATTCTTGATCAGCATCACAAGACGAGTCGATCTAGCCATGTCCGTCTGTCCGTCTGTCCGTCTGTCCGTCTGACCGTCTGTCCGTCTGTCCGTCCGTCTGTCCGTCTGTCCGTCTGTCTGTTTCTACGCAAACTAGTCTCTCAGTTTTTGAGCTATCGGGACGAAACTTTCGCAAAAGTCTTCTTTCTATTGCAGGTAGTATATATGTCGGAGCCGACCGGATCGGACAACTATATCTTATAGCTCCCATAGGAAGGATCGGAAGAAAAAAACTTTAAAAAATTCTAGCTTCGGTGTTTTTTGAAATATTACCTTCTACTTTTGGGGATGTTATTTTTTAAATATTTCTGAATTTCGAATTAATTATTTAAAAAATCGGACTACTATATCATATAGCTGCCATAGGAACGATCGGAAAATTAATGGAAAAGTAATAGGAAATAAATTCTAGCTTCTTTGGTTTTTATTGTATTATCTTCTACTCTAAGATATGACTCTTTTTAAATATTTCCGAATTTCAATTTTAATTTGATCAAAATCGGACGACTATATCATATAGCTGCCATAGGAAGGATCGGAAAATTTATGAGAAATATTAGAAAATTGAACATTTTTGCGATTTGTTAATTAATAGGAATGATCTGCAAGGGTATATAAGCTTCGGCTGGCCGAAGCTAGCTTCCTTTCTTGTTGAAACTTCATTTTATTCAAAGTGTTATTTGACTGTTTAGAAATCCATTTGATGTAATAGTATTATCAATATTAAATAACAAAACGGCTAACCCTTTCTCCCTGAGACTTGTTTACAGCGATCGCAATTGACTTTTTTGCTTTTGCAAACGCAATTGTCATTGCCGCATGGGAAAAAGCACGACCGCAAACAATCAATGTGATAAGAGTACCAGATGCAAGTCACTAGAGCTGTGAATTTCCCAGCAAAAGATGTAATTCTCACCGTAAATTCGTGATATCCCGGCTGCGAGAATTGAAGGATCATGGTGTGGTTATTGACCATGGGATGACGCACTTGCACCAGGCCGATGTACTGCCCTTGGAACCCCTGATATTCGAAACGCGGCGAACAGCCATTCCGGGGCAACTGGCCAAGAATCGATTTAATCCGGAAAACCAGGAGAAGAGCGGTCACTAGCTGTAGCGGACTCATTGCAACTGCGTAAGTGCTGAGCTTTTCCAATCTATTTTATTTAGAAAATAGACACTCGTAATAACACTCAAGAACTTCACTCGATGAGCGAATAGGTTGTCCCGATCTAAGTCTCTCTAAGCTCAGGGGCTCTCCCCACATTGTGGGTTTTCGCAGCTCTACTCTTGAGCGGTAATTTCACTTCAACATTTTTGGCTCATTTATGCAAATCAAGTGAATTCTTTCCGGGTCTGGTAAGTTATTTGCAAAGCACAAAGAAATTGAGTGTCGTTAGAGAAAAAGGTTATATTGTATCGTGGGAAGGTATAAAATGTAACAGGTAGAAATAAGCGTTTAAGAGCCTACTTATAAAGAACACATATTCTTGATCAGGACGACTAGCCCAGTTGAGCTGGCCATGTCCGTATGTCTGTCCGTCCGTATGAACGCAAAGATATATAAAAATATATATTTTTTTCTTTTTACTTTTTGGAGCTTTGGTGTCTTTCTAACACTTGAGTAAGTCTTCTAAGATTTTTCGTCTATTTACTTTGAAGTTTTACCTAGTACCAACTATGAATGAAACGGTAATGTTTTATTAATTTCAGTTCTCGCTGAATATTTTTAATATTTTTTCAATATTTAACTCATCTCTACAAAATTGTCTCTTTTTGCAAAAGATTAATGAAATGCATCTCTTTATGAGGATCTCTGGCACACTTAGTTCCACATATTCTGGCGAATCCAGTTAATGTGCTTGGCAACGTCGGTGAATACAGAGGGTTTGGTTAGATCGCAGGTGCGTCTCTCTTCGTCGATTTGTCCCGCGGAGGTCACTCCTCGCAAAATAAACACATCCTGTTCCTTCAGCATCAGTGGTCCACCTCCATCGCTGGTACAGGGTCCTGCCCCCGCCCTCTTGGCACACAGGCTACTCGGCTGCACCAGTTCAGGGGCCAGCTCCAGGCGGCAGCCCGACTCGATTACGATGTTCAGGTCGGTGACCTTGGCCACATCTGTGTGCCCGGTTCCCGACTCATCGGGTCCCCAGCCAGCTACATAGGTGTTGTGTCCCTGGGGCAGATCCAACCGACTGCTGGTGCTCCACAGGCAAATGGGTATTATGTAGTCGTAATAACTGTAAAAGAAATATTTATCAAATGTTCATTATTTAAAAATGTGAGACTCACTCCACCGGTGCATCCAACTTGATCAGTGCCAAATCGGCCTCAGTGAACTGCTCAAACTTGAAGTTTTCGTGAATGATTAACTGGGACACCTCGCGATCTTCTCCGGGGGAGTGAAGAGCCAGGCTTGTTCGACCCAGGGAGACGGCCAGGCGATCGGCAGTCAATTCCTTTTTAGGAACTCGAAAACAGTGAGCCGCCGAGAGAACTGAGGAAGTGGAGATCAGTGACCCACCACAGATGAAGCGGGGTCCGTTTCTATCCCGCCGCTCGAAGATGGCCACCAACCAGGGAAGTTGCCCACGTTCTATACTGTTTCCCTGGAATATTAGTGGCGTCGTACTGGTCTTCTCATGTCGCACACGTCCGCAGGGATACTCTTCGGATGGGTCGGTTTGCTGGGGAACCAGATTTCTAATCGTCGGTTGAGGATCGGCAGCACGATCAGGATTCCTAATTGTCAGCTGGGAAGCAGTATTAATTAAAGTCCAATCATCCTCTCCAGCACTCATGATGTTTCTTGGCTGAACCTCTCCATCATCCGAGTTGATCCTTGGTTTTGGTGACACAGGCACAGGTGAAGTTCTGAGCTCCCAAGTATACTCGCCAGTTATGCCTTCACGAGGTTCGGGATCTAGAATATATTGAGATTAGATACCAATCTACATATTTAAGATTTTATGCACTCACATTCTGCGCCACTGCATAGCTCAATGCCATTCACTTGTAGGCTAGTTATCTTGGGCGGGATTGTAGGAATAGGGAAATCAACACGGTATCGAATTGGTAAGCCTTTGCGAAGATTACTTTCGGCCTTGTCTCTGTCATCCACCAAATGAATTGTGCCAGCAGAACCCTTTAAATAAAGGGGGATAATAAGTTGTAAACACTTTTTATTAAGTTTGCACAACGCTTTAGAACAGCGGTCGGCACAAAACACTATGACATTTTTTTTTATATTTGCATTATCTTCGGTGAAAAACTCAATTCTAGTACTCAATTTTATTGATATACATGTTGAGGAGTGAATGATTTGCCGTTGCTCTATCAAATTTATGTAAGGCTATCGCAAATGTCATTGTTGAATATAAAAATGCACACCAGATGCATTTGAATACAACGGAGAATTTCCCGGCAAATAATGCAAAATCTCACCTCAAAGTCGTGAGATCCCTGCTGGGAGAACTTAAGAATCAGTGACTGCTTTTTGACAAACGGGTGAATAACTTTCACTTGGCCGATGTACTGCCCTTGGTAGCCCTGGTACTCAAAAAGCGGAGAACAGCCATTCTCAGGCAACTGGCCAATACCCGACCTAATCCGAGATACCAAAAGGAGAGCGGTCACCAGCTGTAGCGGACTCATTGCAACTGCGTAAGTGCTGAGCTTTTCAGATCTATTTTATTGAGAAATTAGACACTCGTAATAATACTCAAGAACTTCACTCGATGAGCGAATAGATAGTCCCGATCTTAGCCTCTCAAAGCTATATTTGTTCACAACGTCTGTTGTTCTCCCCACATTGCGTGTGTTTAGTATACCTTTTTATACTCATAGAGTAAAAGGGTATATTGTATTCGTGGTGGAGTATACAATAGTAGAAGGGTTTGCAACCCTTTAAAGTATATGTATTTTCGATCAGGATCACTAGCTGATTCGATCTAGAATGCCCGTCTGTCTGTCCGTCCAAATGAACGCTAAGATCTCGGAAACTATATTTGAAAGAACTGTGATTTTATTAAATATTTAGGAGTTACTGGGCACTTGTACTCGAGCTGTGATGCCTATCTTTTATTTTACCAAATTACCAACTGTGAATCCTAAAAAAATGTATGCATTTTTTTTAATTCTCGCCAATACTATCAATTTTTTAATATTTCATTCATTTCTTTAAAATAATCTCAAAGTCATGTAAACTAAAGACAGGACCGGCTGCATTCCATTGATGTCCATTGTCCATCTGGCACACTCCACTTAGTTCCACATATTCCGGCGAATCCAGTTAATGTGCTTGGCAACGTCGGTGAATACAGATGGTTTGGATAGATCGCAGGTGTGTCTCTCTTCGTCGATTTGTCCCGCGGAGGTCACTCCCCGTAGCACCCACACGTCCTGTTCTTTCAGCATCAGTGGTCCACCTCCATCGCTGGTACAGGGTCCTGCTCCCGCCCTCTTGGCACACAGGCTGCTCGGCTGCACCAGTTCAGGGGCCAGTTCCAGGCGGCAGCCCGACTCGATTACGATGTTCAGGTCGGTGACCTTGGCCACATCTGTGTGCCCGGTTCCCGACTCATCGGGTCCCCAGCCAGCCACATAGGTCTTGTGTCCCTGGGGCAGATCCATGCGACTGCTGGTGCTCCACAGGCAAATGGGTATTATGTAGTCGTAATAACTGTAAAAGAAATATTTATCAAATTATCATTATTTAAAAATGTGAGACTCACTCCACCGGTGCATCCAACTTGATCAGTGCCAAATCGGCCTCAGTGAACTGCTCGAACTTGAAGTTTTCGTGAATGATTAACTGGGACACCCCGCGATCTTCTCCGGGGGAGTGAAGAGCCAGGCTTGTTCGACCCAGGGAGACGGCCAGGCGATCGGCAGTCAATTCCTTTTTAGGAATTCGAAAACAGTGGGCCGCCGAGAGAACTGAGGAAGAGGAGATCAGTGATCCACCACAGATGAAACGGGGTCCGTTTCTATCCCGCCGCTCGAAGATGGCCACCAACCAGGGAAGCTGACCTCGTTCTATGCTGTTTCCCTGGAAGATTAGTGGCGTCGTACTGGTCTTCTCATGTCGCACACGTCCGCAGGGGTATTCTTCGAATGGGTCGGTTTGGTGGGGAACCAGATTTCTGATCGTCGGTTGAGAATCGGCAGCACCATCCGGACTACTTATCATTAGCTGGGAGGCAGTATCAATTTCGCTGTCCTCTTCAGAACCCGTAATAATCTTTCTAATAGTCCTTGAGTAACTCCTTCTAAAGTAGATGGTTCCGTTTTGTGGTACCTCCTCCGGTCGCCAATTAAGTGCCGGTTTTGTTGCCGCGGGCACTAATGAAGTTAAACTTTTCCAAGAATACCGCATAGTAATGTCTGTACTTGGCTTGGGGTCTGGAAATCGGGATAAGATACAGATTAAAATATTTAAGACTATATGCACTCACATTCTGCTCCAATGCAAATCTCAATGCCATTCACTTTTATGCTAGTGATCCTGGGCGGCGTTGTGGGGATCGGGAAATCGACACGGTATCGTATTGGTAATTCCTGCCAAAGATTGCTCTCGTTCTTGTCTTCATCATCCACCAAAGAAATTTTGGCACGAGAGTTCTAAAAATAAAGGGGGTTTAAATATTTTAAACAGTTGTTGTTATGATTGCACAATGCTATAAATTTGTATTGATTGATTTATTACACTGCACAACAAAATTGCTTTTTTAAAAGTACAGGTGCAAACAGCACTTTATTTTATTGATGCGCCTGTCAATAAATTGCTTAGATGACATTCTAAAGATTTGCATTTACGGTTTTATTATATCTGAAGTCAATCAAAAGTTATGCATTTAAGTAATCTGTTCACCCGATAAGATCAAAAGGATATGCTTATGTACTCTCTGACCACTCTTGAATCATTTGATGTTTTCCTTTAAAACTGGTTTACTGCTGCCCAGATGCTTTTGAATAAAAGCGACAATTTCCCATCGACAGATGCAAGATCTCACCTCAAAGTCGTAAAATCCCTGCTGGGAAAACTTAAGGACCAACCATTGGTATTTAGCAAAGGGATGAATCACTTTCACTATGCCAATGTACTGCCCTTGGTATTCCAGGTTCTCCATAAACCAAGGACACTTAATCAAGGGAATCGATTTAATCCGAGATACCAAAAGGAGAGCGGTCACCAGCTGTAGCGGACTCATTGCAACTGCGAGAGTTCTGAGTTTTACCCATGTATTTTGTTGGGAAAATTGTCACTCGTTCTAATACTCAAGAACGAACGAACGATGAGGGAATAGATTTGTTTAATCTCTAAACTGTTGTTTACTCTTTATCATAATATCTCTTTAATATTTTTAGCTCAGTTATGCAAATCATTTCATTCTTCCCGTGTCTGGAATTTCATTTAAACATCGACTTGATATGTCATTTACATTTTACTGAATTACTACAACTGCATCATCTCAATCATCCCTGCTATTCGTCAATAAACGCGAAAATGAATGACGCTTCGAGTTATTATATAACAACGGGATTGAGCAGCTATCATGGGAGATTTCGGAAAAATGGTCTAGTACATTATCATTAAATATTTGGTAATATTAAACACTAATAACGATCTATTAACTGCTTGGAAATATAATTTTTATTTGGCTGGTCCTACTCCATTGAGTGCTGAAGATGTCCTGTATATGTGCAGTGTGTACAATATCGTTGCTAATGATAAATATATATATTTCACCTCCTATTTGCCGGCTGGCATACTCTCACGATAATCCTCTATAATGTCCTTCAGCTGTCTTTCCACTTCGAGCCGCTCCTCGGAATATTCCTCTAGAGTTTTTACCAAGCACTGGTTGCTTTGCCTTTGGTTGTCCTCCAACTGAGTGGACTCAATCCACAGGCTATGGAGGTCCTGAGGAGCATCCCGAACGCCATCGATAGCTCTTCTAATGCCCTTGCGGCATTTTTTGGCCTTGATACTGGGACACCTTTCAGTGGCTTCGATCACCTGTCTTGTTGGCAATTGCAAGCCATCGAGTGACCTCTTCAAGTCCAGATTAAATCGAATCTGAGCCCAGAGAAAGTCACCAACACAATTGCGCAATCGAAGAAGGTAGCGATTGTTAAACTCCTCGGTGATGGAAACAGCTTCGGCTGTTCTAACACCTTCAGTGGACTCCCCCACCTGCTGAACTTTGGCTGCGGCCCAAAATTTCCATTCCTCCTGGTGTTTAAGTTTCGAAACCAATTCCGCCTGCTGTCCCTTGATTTTCCCGAGACTTTCTCCCAACGGGGAAATGCTCTGCCTCAAGCCAGTTAGAAATGCCAGTGCTTCCAGCAGACCCTGTTCCCTTTTCTTCTTGTGAGTGTTTGGTAAAGCGATTAGTATTTCCTTTGCTGAATTATCCAGATACTCCTTGTATTGAGTGATCGCAGCCTCATTCTCGTTCTGCAAGTTGTTAGTTGGATTTAGAACCAAAACTCCATTATCGTTGAAATATGCCGGATCGGTGGGTAAGATTCCCTCGGAGGTGGGAACATTCGCCAGGACTCCGCCATCGCTAGTGAAAAGTACCGATAGGTAGAGCAGCCAGATGGAGCGCTGCATTTTTCCACCAACCTCCTCAGAGGCTGCAAATCGTTCTGACTTTATAGATTCAGCTCATTGGGTATTTTAATATGCAGCACGCTTTGGCAAACATTTATTCAGCTGATGCCAATCAGGGAGCAGTCAACACGTGGTGATATATGTTTATATATTACGCCAAATAACTGTCCGCTGGGCATACACTGCAAAAAACTAACTAAATTTTATCATAGAAAAATCAACAACTATTCCTAAATTCAGTTGTACGAATATTTTAAACTTATTTAAAATACTTTCAAGTAGATGAAAAATGTAGGTCCCTTAAACTTTAGATCCTAGCTATTTCAAATATGTTCTACAGTGATTTTTGGCTTGAAATATTTAAGTGTAAAATAAAATTGTTAGTATTATTCTCGAATATTTTTTAGTAAAATAATATTCATTAGTTACAGTTCCATTTAAGAGCACCTATCATAATGTATACTTTCTGTATACTTTTTAATTTAATTTTTATAAGCGGATAGCAACAACGTTTTATACAAGCGGGATATATTTTTTTCTTGCTTACCATCCATCAATGCTAGCAAAATAATTGAAACATGCGAGCTACAAACTCGTTTTGCCAAAAATCCCCAGACAATGGAATACAAATGCTTTGGCCTAAGGGTTCTTTAATCTAATTGTATACAAAGCACTTGCGCAGCTCAGCGGATATTGTCGTTTATCCAGTCCATATGCTTCGAAAGATCGCAGTAGAGTACGTACTGTTCCAGCTGGCACTTGTCGACTGGTCCGCGTTCGCCGAGCGAAACAATTCCCCGGAGTAGCCATCGATCGCCCTGCTTGACCATCAGTCCGCCGCCGGAGTCGCCGACACAGGGTCCGGATCCATCGCGATTGCCGGCGCACAGAGTTCGCTCCGAGAGCAACATCGGTATCCTCCAGGTGCTGGCACAGACCGTGGGACTGGCGATGTCCGCCTCCACAACCCGGGGATACTGCGTTCGACCCTTGTCCTTGCTGTCGTCATCTCGGCCCCATCCCGCAATGAAGCCGGAGGTGCTCACCGTACTGCTCGCCTCTGCCGTCCACAAGCAAATGGGCGCAATAATATCATTGAACCTGCAAGTTGATTTGAAAGTTAGATTCCGGTAGTATATCACAGTTTATAAGTAATAAATTATCACTTACATAACACCATAATATTATCATATTAAAACAAGAAAGATTGATATAGTCGACTATCAGATACCCGTTATCCATATAAATTTGATTGCTCATAACTTTTAAATGAATGATTTTTGGATGACAAGATAAATATTTACAATCAAAACAAAATCTCACTTACACTTTTACCAAATCTTTAAAAATTGTTAATGTTATGCAGGGATTAAAAATATTCATAATAGGGGATTTTTATAATCAATTTTGTTTTCGTTATTGCGTATTTAGAATAGAAACCAAATGGTATATTTTATTTGGTTTTGCGACTATTATAATTGAGTGATTTTGTCACTAAATCAATTTTCAGACTCTTATTATAGTACAAGTATTTGGTTTTAATATAATTTTTCACAACTACTCACTTGACTGGCCGATCAATGGTGATGAGGGCGACATCCGCATCGGGAACCGAGCGGGTACTGTAATCTGGGTGCCAGAGCAGTTGCTTCACATTTCGCGTCTCGGCCCCCTCCTCTCCGTAGTTATCCAGATCATAGCGACCCAGTCCGATGACCACGCTGTCCTCCGACATCCGGTACACACAGTGGGCGGCACTGACGACAATGCTGGCAGAGATCAGGGAACCGCCGCACCTGAAGGTCAGGGAACGCGACACCTTGTGATAGAGGGCTGCTAGCCAGGGATACTGACCGCGTGGATACTCGGTGCCCCGGACGATAAAGGGAATTAGGCTGCCCTCTCTGCCGCAGGTTATTGGTGACGCAGTGGATCGCGGATCAAATCTTTGAGGTGGCGCCATCGTCGCTGGAGGATTAGTTGCTATTGGAGGTGGCCCAAAAGTCGCCGGTTGTCTGGGTTCTGGTGGCTGCCAGAAAGTCGGCGCTTGGGTGGTAAACTGAGGTTGCCTGAAGGTAGGTCTTCTATCGGTGGATGTCCGCCAGGTCTGCGTAAAACCAGGTAAAACATCTCTGCCGCGAGAAGAGGGAAATTGTACGGTTTGCACACCGACATCGAAGTCATCCCTGGGAAAGGTTTGGAATGCGGGGGAAGGAAACGGCTCAGTCAGGAACTTCTCATAGAAGCGATTATGGTAGCTCACAGATCCCCCACCAGCGTCTAAAAAACAGCTCAATAGTGTTTAGGTGGCAAAAGAAATTAATTTAATTTAGAGGCAATTTAAGCGTACTCACTTTCGCTGGCCGAGCACAGCAGCTGATCGTTGTACGACAGTCGGGTCAATTTGGGTGGACTCGCTCTGAAGGCGACGCGGAACTTGAAGGGTCCCCTGCCCAATCGAATCGCATCGTCATCCGGGTACGGGTTCAGGCCACCCACCGATGAGGCCTGCGGAATGCAAGGGGACAAAGTGGTCAGATCGGTTGTTATTCCAGTAAACAGATCGTCGACCAGCTCATACATCAGAATTTCCCTCCTGCCAGAAACGAGCATCGATGCGATTGGTGCCCGGTTGCAAAGAGGACAGCGTAATCTCGCCCTGGATACCACCGAAGGCATCGTTGACATAGCGGAAGTAGATGGGACAGTTCTCTTGCACAAACTGTCCACCGGTCGAGGCGATTAGCAATACAACTACGACCCACTCCAGACCCATACCTTTTCCGAATCTTGTATTGGATAGAAGCTCTCGGTTCCGCACGCGACAGCCGACGTTGGGTAAATAAAACTGATTGCTCATATCGAATATCGCCTACGAATATCGCTCCCATCGACGGGTTGTTGAGTCACTGAGCGTCGTCTGGCGGCAAACTGGAAATTCCGCATCGTGCTGAGCCAATAAGGCACGGATTACAGCCAAACATTTGAGATTGAATCTGCCGACGATTGAATACTTTTCACTTAAAAAAGTCTTAAGCCTAAATAGTAAATATTATACCCCTTTAAGCACCTACTTAAGTGTTTTAATCTATAGATCAGTTTAGGATCCAACTTAGGAATTTAGGAAATGCAGTTAATTTGAATGCATTAAATAAAATACTTAATGTATTATTACAGGGTAGAGCATCATCAGGCCTGAACAAGAAGCTAAGAAACTAGATATACGCTCATCTTTGTTATGAGTGAATAATAATAATAAACATGGGAGATTCTGTCTAAGTAAAAAACATCTCATCAGTTTTTTATCTTTGTTTGCTCAGACACGATGTGATCTTCAACTGTAAAACATCGATTCCCCAGAAGCTAGCATACTCAGTTTCCCCATCAATTGGGAATCACAGATCACTGATTAAAGGGAGATTACTTTCAAATTACTTATGATCGAATAGTCACTTAAGGGTAAAATCTCTTTATACTCACAATTAATTTTCCTACTTGCTCTTGAGTGTAAATTCTTATCTAACAAGTAACTCTTAGATGAGCTCTCTTTCAATATAATCAAATCATTTGAACTCTTTAAAATATAATCAGTAATTATAAACATCAAAGGCTTAAGGGTAGGTATAAATGTTTAATTAACTATTATGAACTAAATTCTAAATTAGATTGTTTGTTATAGGCTATTTTTGTCTTTGGCAGCACAGCCGGCTTGGGGAATTCTACCGGTTTTATAAATGGAAATTCCGGACTATAGTTGTAAGTAACAGAGTTTATTCAAGATTTTTGTACAGAAAGGTTTTAACTTTTCCGTCTTCACAAACTTTTTGGCCCACTTGGTAGTTTCTAATTACTCTAACACCGAATTGATCTCCTTACATCACCATATTTTGACGAACCCAATCGATGTGCTTGGCAACATCGCAATAAATGACGTACTTGCTAAGATCACATATTTCTCCCTGGCGCGGCGATAGGGAGACGACGCCCCGAATATACCATCGGTTATTGCGCAGGACTACCAATGCAGATCCCGAGTCTCCGAAGCAGGGACCATGCGACTGCGAATTCCCGGCACAGACTGTCCGCCGGGTGATGAAGTCCTCCGCCCGTTTCATCTCCTTGAGGCACTGATCCCTTGGCACCAATCGCACACTCACCGTCTTGGGAAATCGCGTCTTCTGGGCACTGCTATCGTAGCCCCATCCGGCCACAGCACCAGTATCTCCCTCATTCGGGGGCAAACCCATATTGGAGCTCCACAGACAGAGGGGCTGAATGTACTTGGTGTAGACCATTGCTGCACTGAGCACAAGGAGACCCACGTCCGCGTCCGGAACTGGACTGCCCTCGTAGGCGGAAGGAGTGACCACTCGGGACACGCTGACCAAGGAAGCTCCACTTTCCGGATTCTCGTTGCGATCGTGCCTGCCCAGATAGACCCACAGTTGATTCGCCTCCTTGCCATAAATGCAGTGGGCTGCTGTGATCACAGTCCTCTTGGAGATCACCGAGACCACGCATTTGTACGAGGCCGTCGATCCACCTTCGTAGAGGGCCGCCAGCCAGGGATACTGACCCCGGGTCACCAGTTCGCCTCCGATTTGAAGGGGCGCAAAACCCTCTACGCCGCACTCCTCAAAGTCAGCATCTATCTTTGGCTTATTTTGAGGAACATTTTGGGGAATATTGTGAGGCAGAAACGGATTGGCGTGTTTGTGGGATTCCGTAAAGGAAACGACGGGCCGCGACTGGGGCACCATTTCCCTGGGCGCTGAACTTCTAATGGGGTTTGAAGTGGACATGGACTGCCGGCGGGTCATTGTGCTCGAAGGGGCATCATCTAAAAAAGGTGAAGAAAAGGGATTAGATACTAATTAAGATTTGTAAATAATTTCAAAAACAACTTACACTCATCGTTTCGGCACAAAAGCTCGTCATTGAATTCTGCCCGGATAAGTTTGGGCAGCTCGTTCCCGAAGTTTTGAAAGCGCACATATACCTGTCCACGTTCTCCATTGTGTATTTTTTCGAAGGCACTATCCTTGGAGGGATACGGCGTGAGGGAGCTAACGGTTTCCGCCTGCAGTTGGGGATCTCATGAATAAGGAAATAGAATCCAAATCCAATCTCACCTGTCCCGTTCCATGGGCAGTGAAGACCACCTCCCACGAAAGGCTATTCACTCCACCTCGTGGGGCCGTGAAAACGCCAATATACGCTCCACTGTTCTCCTTGTAGTAGGAGAAATACCTATCGCAATTGTGCTGCGGTGCGTGCAACGCCGATCCGAGGTTCAGATTGACACAAAGGCCGAGCAAGGTCAGCCACGAGATTGTCATTGCGACGGGAACAACCAACCGATGCTGTATGGAGCCTAACGAGAACTGGAACCAAAGTCACCATCCACAAAGCAAATTGCAATGCATTTCCCTCTCGATGGAACAGCTGATCTCTCCACAGATTGTGGAACACCCCCATTGACTGATTGCGGGCTTTACCCAGCCATATACGTATCAAGTAGTTAGTTGAGTGCAAGCTTTAGATCGTACAACTACCAGCTTTTACAGAACCTGATTCGAACTATTCAGAGGGTGAGCTGCTCTTGAGAGAAAAACCCCCGGCATAATAAACATATGGGACTTGTTCAGCAAGCCCATACGTTTACATAGTTAGCTCTATAAATATTTACTCTCTTTTTGCGTCCACCTCTCGCTCAGCCTATCTCCCTTTTCCTGATCTAGCTCAATTGATAAAGCAAAGATTAGGTATTGATTAAACTTACAATAATCATTAAAAATATAATAATCAAAAAAAATTTAAAGTGACATCTATATTGACTGGTATATTAAAATTTTAAAGACGTAAAAGAACGTAATAAACACTCAACCAAATTTAAAAAAAAATGTTTAAGAAACTGTGCTTCTCAAATCAAGAGAGAAGCCACCTGGAAACCAAGAAATTCGTTGTTTTAAAAAATATTTTTTTATTCTATGCTCTTTTAAAAATAAAAGAAAAATTTAAGAACGATTTTTATTGATTGTATTAAAAGTCTAAGGTTTTTTAGTAGTTTTTTTAGTGTAATTTAAGACTTGAATTTTGCTTTGACAACAAATATTTCATTTCCGAACCGATAAGAAATTCTCTTCTCTTTGGTATACAATTTATTTTTTAAATTTTGTTTTTCTGTCGACTCTTTACTTTACTCAGGTTTGTGGCTGCCTCTCTTATGAATCGGCTTTCATTCAGATTCGATTTTCGCATTTGCGAAGAAAAGTTTTTTTAGAGGCGCTATCGAGTGAGACATGGACAACTTTTAATAATATAATGCAAGGATGTTTATGTCTATTGAAAATGATGTTTGTGGGGCGCCGTAAGTAGCGACAACGCATTTGGCCCCAAACTTTTCTCAACAAAACAAAAAGAAGCCTCGGGAATGGGGAGAGGGTCTCCTAACTTCACGACACCCGCAACTCAATTCTTGCTGCATTGTGGCCGCCGGTTCCCCAATTTCCCCCAACTGCCTGACGGCAACTTTTATAATCAGTTCCAAGTTTGTTAAGCTTTGTAATAATTTGTTGAGATTTGGCGCGAAATTTTCGCTGCTTTTTCGATTTCTTTTCTTTTTTTTCTTTTTTTTCACCAAACAAATTTGTTGTGAATTTTTGTGCCGGGCTCAACTTGGCCAACTTAGCGGAGGCACTTTGACATCGCATCGGAAGTAGGAGGTGCAGGCATTACCACCCGCGTCAATAATCGGATGCCAAGTGGGAAGGTAACAGTGCGTTTGACTGCACTTGAAGGCAGCGCCAATTGAGCGGCCTAATTGGAGCGGTCCCTGCTCGGGCGCCACTTCAACGTGATGGATTTGCTGGGCCAAGCAAATCACGTCGCATCAAATTAGGCTTCATGAACAGGAACTCTTGAATAACGCCTAAACTAGCTTAAAATAACTTTTATAGTGCTGACAAAAAATATTGCTTTCTTCTTTATCTCTTAAAAAGATAATGGATTTTAGGTCTTATAAAACATTTTTTATTTAGTTAAACAAACAAAAAGCTAAACTTTGGGCAAAAAATAAAATTTGAAAATGTAAAAACAATTTTTGAACTTCCAATTTGTGTTGCTTTTTGGAAGACGAGCTTTTTACCCCGCTGGAAATGGTTTTTAAATAAAAATAAGTCTTTAAGGATTATTTATAATGTTTATTTTAATTTTTATTTTTTTTATTCTGGCAATTTACTTAACATTCGATTTTTTTTTCATTTAAAATTTTTTAAATTAATAATTATTTAGTTTTTAAAATTGTGAACTTAATTTAGTTGCTCATGGTATGCAATATACGAAAGATCCCCTTCTAGGTCCTGCGGATTACCTTAAAGTTGTCACAGGTGCAGATGCCCCGGAAGCGACTAAAGACGAAGACAAGTGGCTCGCCGCAGGACTTGAGCAGCTGAATTTTCTTGGCATGCAAAAAGCCGTTGCGAACAGAGCACTGCAGCTCGTCATCCCACGAGTTCTCGGCCGACTCCTCCACGAGGAGCGTGTGAAAGACATTGAGCAGCTGCAGCGACCGATCCATTCGAGAGGTGCGAACCAGGGCTAGCAGCTGGACGTAGGGACGGAACTTAATCCACCGCTGACAGTCCTCGATGCCGACTTCGGTGCCCAGATCGAGAATCATTAGCTTGCAGTCGTGATCATGAATGGCCTTCAGTATGTCCCGTTCCATGGGCCCCTTGAAGCACTTCTGCAGCTCTTCGGTGAGGGTGAAGCCCAGTTCGTGGCTGGGCGTCTGCATGGTCCAGGGATATCGACGATTGGCAAAGTCGTAGGCCAGCTTCTGACGGCGCTCATGCTCCGTTCTCAGGTGCTCCACCTCCTGGTCGATGGGCCGTATGGCCCGGGATCCGCGGCACAGGAAGTCACTCTCTGCCGGTCCCTTTCGCTCCTCCACCTCCTTGTTCAATGCCTTGGCCGCCTCCTCCTCCTCCATCTCCTGGCGCCGGGATCCTTGGCAACAGCGCAGCTCGTGCGGCGGCATGTAGAAGGGATAGCCCACCTGGGCCAGGTAGGTATGCCACTCCAGTCGGTCGAAGGGTTCGCTGGGCACAAAATTCTCATCCGCCTTGCTCTCAATGCGACACGGATTCTCGTCCAGGATCAACGGCCATAGCACATCGAAAAAGGAACCGCCCAGAGTTACAGCCCTTTCGGAGGTATTCTTAGAGGGAACTGGAAGCTCGCTCATTTTGGCTACTTGGAATTTCTATTCTATTAATTTGGGGGCAACTGGGGGGAATTTTCGTTTTCCTCGCTATTAAATATTATGTAGAGTGACACAAATCTAACATGCTATTTTCAGTTAACACCTAAATAAATTTAAGAACTGAGCACACAACATCTATAAACTACATCCATTGATGCATAATGTTGGTTGAGATCTCAAAGAGAGAAGGGATACCTGTAAAATATTTTATTGAACAAATTGTAAGGCTGTACTTATTGTTAAAATTCTTAAAAGCCCTTTTACCACCTAAAATTGAACAAATTTGAGCATTACTACTAAAACATCCATAACATTTGATTAGCCTAAAATATGATGAAAAAAAAACACATCTATAGAATGGCATCTAAACTCTTTTATTTATAAGCGACTCAATGAAATGGAGTACCAATATAGTACAAATCTAAACATTCAAGTGTTATTACTTAAATTTAAACATTTGCATAATGCTAAAATAAACTTGGGCTGCTCAGGAATCCCTAGAATCTTTCTAGGTTTTATAGTTTCCGGACTGATGGTTGCACCAAAAAAGTAGGCTTAAAAAGCATCCCTAGCTCCGTAAGAGCCCTCATTCCATTTTGTTATCAGCAAATAAATCAGCCACTGCCACGCCCTCTAATAACAAAGTCCTCTCCTTTTTTCTATACACAATCTTGTTTGTTTTGTACTTGGGCCTCAATTTATGCGCACTCACAGGCAATAACGGTAAGCAAGTATTCGCATTTGGGAATCAGGGAATCGGGAATCGGCAACAACAATTTGCGTAAATTTTATGACATTCCACGCCGTATATTTACGGTAGCCGACGATCGCCATCATTTTATGAGCCGAAACAGCGAGGTAAAATCCAGATTTTATGAAGGAATAGGAATGCAGGCGCAACAAGATGGCCACGATTTTCATTATGCTCCCGACTCGTATATTAGTTTTAGTGGGCGGGGCGAATCTGAGGGCTGCGACAACGGCGACGAGTTTTCGGGCTCATTAGCTTTTATGGCTTTGATTTTATTGCCGACGGCGGGAAAGCTTTAATTTCGAACACGAAATATTTGCCTATCACAGGGCGCTTCCGCATGTGAGCAATAAATTTTCATAAATCAATTGTGCGTGCCACGTTGAACACAATCAGCAGACTAATCTAAAAAACCCAAGCCCGCAAAAGATTTGAATTTAGATTTATTTCCGAGCACCCAAAACTGAGTGACGAATGCCTATTTTACGCTTCGATGTTTAACAAGTTATTGCAAATTTGATTTCAACCCAGGATTTTAATTTCAGCTGCAAGATTTATGGCATCTGGCTTGCCAGCTGCTATCCGAAGTGAAATTTTAAGCTGCCTTTGCCGGGAAAAAAACGAACTTTAAGTGACCCAATGTTTGCTCTGCTCTTATTTTGTTTTTTGTTTCATCTATTAAAACGCGACAACTTTTTGCTGCTTGTGGGGCCACAAAACAAGTTGTTATATATATGCGTGATGTATATAAAAATTTATGTGTATATTTATTGTATTTTATTGGGGCACTTAAGCGACAGACTGTGAGGGAATACCGCGAGAGCAAAAACCCAAAGAAAAAGCGGAGAAAGCTGTATAAAAATAAGCCAGGGAAAAAGCAAATGCCAGGCCAAAGAAAAACTGAAACAAGTAAGGACAACTGAGACGCTTATTGACATAAAAGCCAATCATTTTCAAATGGCTTTAAGCATTCGACAAATGGAGGAGCAGCCCCGCAACATCAAACGGAAAGAAATAAACAAAACTCGAGCGTAAAAGTAGAGTCGTATATTTTTTTGGTTATGCATTTCAGTTGGCACACCGCAGCACAAAAAAAACACCCACAGAAACTTCCAGTGGATGCACTTTGAACCCGTTTGCGGTTCGAGGTTTTCTACATAAATAATTACTTTACCGAATTTTCAAAACATAAAAAAAGCTCCACGGAACTGGACTTTTTTCATGGAGAATACTTAAATATTAGCGAGACTTTAAGGAGTACGAAAAGTTTCCACTGCCAGACTATTGAATATCCATCAAATTATCACTGGAGCAGAATAAATTTGATTGATGTAGTGCTGTTCAGCCATCAATCATCCGAAGATTTCGGTGCACTGCACTTTTCTCGGCTCTTCTTAGTGCAAGCTGATAAATCACAGCACTAACAATGGCATACAGCCCACTCATACGGATATAAAATCCGTAGTGCTATTGGCACAATGTCAACGAATTTAATATGTAATGCACGAACCAGGGATTTCACTTGTATTCCGAAATTTTTTATTGACCTTACCTTACGTTTTTAAAATAAATTGACTAACATTATGTGAGGGAAATTCGCTGTCCGAAATCCCGGTATTACAGGCATTGATAAATAGACACTTCAATGCACCAACTTAAATATTCAAATTTGGTTATTTTAGGCCCAGAAATGGACAGCAAAGGCAGGCATAAATTCGCACACATTCGCGTGGGTAGCCAAGGCCAAAGTTGGACACGCATGGAAAGGTCTCATTGAAATTTTCCTTAGCCCGCCTACATTTATAATATGTGAGTCGAGTGGAAGTTGGACGACAGCTTCTTTATCTTGGTTCAAGGCCAGAAATTCATAGGAAAAACAAAACCAACGAACAAAGCGGTGGCTCAAGGCACCTCAGGAGATTCCCCCGGCCGGGAAAAGCAGGACTGGCTTACAAATGAGTCTGCCACCTTAAATAACAAAGCGAGAGCGGCACGCACCAGTACACAGAGAGAATATTTTATTAATATTTTATTAATCACTATGGACGGCAGTCCATGTAGTGACGAAGCGCACCAGGAGAGTGTGCGAAGGCGACTACTATATATACACGAAGAAATGAAAATCTACTGTGATGGTCCGATCATAATGAATAATACACCTATCGAAAGGTATTGCGAAAACTAACAGGATTGCATACCAAGACTTTAAGAAAATCAATTGGCTTGGGAGAGAGAGCGGTGAAAGTGAAAAAGTGAAAATTTCGAAATTTGGAGCTGTTGGGGCCGGTGGGGATAAATGCCCCCTCGCAATGTTTTAGTTGTATTCCTTTTGAAAATACCCGTCGAATGAGGGTTCATTTGTCAAAATCCGACTCTCCGTTCAAAAGTTATAGCCAAAATAAGTTTTTCTTCTTCTTCCCAAAATGAAAATTTAATTCTGTTTGTCAGTTTGTCCACTTGTCCAAAATATGTTTTTTAAGTTCTGAAAATTTGATATGACGTTTATCACATCGATATAAAAAACTTTTGTTCTACCACTTTTGGAAAAACCCGCTAGTTTAGCGGGAAAACAGCTATAAATAGCTAAAATTCGGAAAGCCGTAACTTCTATACTACTAAAGCTACAGACTTGTGCTGCATCTCGTTTGAAAGGTATTTTTAAATGCTATAAACGCCTTTTATATGCAATTTGTGTAAATGTAATAGTTAAAAAGATATGAACAAAAGAAAATTTGTTTAAACTTTTTTTTAGCTTTTTTTAATTTTCTCAAAAACGGCTCTAACGATTTTCCTTACAACTTTAAACTGTATAGCCCTTGAGATTCCTTAAATTTTGGTATATATCATGTTTATGTAAAAAATCGCGTTTAAAAGTTATTCAGAAACGAAAATAGCCACTTTTGCCAGCTCAGAACAACTAACGCTCCCTGAGTATTGAATTTTGTGGGAGGGTATCCGAACTGTATTTTAGGGTCATGGAATCAGTAAATTTGCACTTAAGAGTTCCATATAGGAATCTTTTGTTCTACGACTTTTGGAAAAAGCCGCTACTTTAGCGGGAAAAAGCTAAAAATAGCTAAATTTCGTTAGTTTGTAAGTTCTACACTACTAAAGGTACAGACATGTGCTATACCTCGTTTAAAAGGTATTTTGAAATACTTCAACGCCTTTTTAACTTAATTTGTTAAAATACAATAGTTTTAAAATTATGATTGACCAATTTAAATTTAAATGTATATATTAGCTCCTATGAGAGCAAATGTAAACAAACAAAAACTTCTGATATCAAATAAAAACACCTCTTAACGAGGTAAAAAACTAGTGACGACCGCACCTTCAACATACAAAAGTTCTGATATCACCATTTGTGACGAAAAATTATTACACTCGTCATTGAATAGACTTTCTAATATTTTCTCATTCGGCACGCTGCAATAGAAAATGCCTGTGAAGGGAAAAAGGCTGGAATAGTTTGCTAGGGCGGGCCGAATGAGAAAAGATTAGAAAGTCTATTTAATGACGAGTGTAATAATTTTTCGTCACAAATGGTGATATCAGAACTTTTGTATGTTGAAGGTGCGGTCGTCACTAGTTTTTTACCTCGTTAAGAGGTGTTTTTATTTGATAAGTTATATCACAAAATGGCAAAAGCCATTAAGATGGCTAAATTAAAATAAAACCAGAAAGGAAGCTACCTTCGGCCAGCCGAAGCTTATATACCCTTGCAGATAAAGTAATGCTCACTCGGTGCTGTTCCACGGATTTCAGATTCAGCGTTTCTATTTTTGAATTTTGTTTTTAAAGAGTCAAGAATTAAAACGCCTACTTCCTACAAAACAATGAATTTTCTTATATATCTTTGAATATTCCTATGGGAGCCTTAAGATATAGTGGTCCGATTCGGCTCGCTCCGACATATGTACTACCTGCAATAGAAAGAAGACTTTCGGGAAAGTTTCATCGCGATATCTTTAAAACTGAGAGACTAGTTCGCATAGAAACGGACAGACGGACAGACGGACAGACGGACAGACGGACAGACGGACCGACGGACCGACGGACAGACGGACAGACGGACATGGCTAGATCGACTCGTCTAGTGATGCTGATCAAGAATATATATACTTTATGTGGTCGAAAACGTCTCCTTCACTGCGTTGCAAACATCTGACTGAAATTATAATACCCTCTACAAGGGTATAAAAAGATTTAAAATTTATTTATTTAAAAAACAAAAATAACAAGTAAAC